CTCCGCCTGCGCCTCCCTGCAGTAGCACCGGCCTCGACCGTGGGGCAGGAGCCGCCCCGCATCCTGGTGGCCGGAGCATCTTGCCGCATGTGCTTCAGAGTCTCCATCCATCCGCATTTTCCAGGCTCTCATGTATTTAATTGTCCCCCCTGTGTGGTTTGCTTTGGCCTTTCCCCTCTGCTCTGTGCTTCTCACCCACCAGCCTGAAGAAGATGGAGCAGGAACGGACCCATCGCATGGACCACGCTGCGTGGTGGAGAAGTCCCGGCTGGACCCGGCTGCAGCGTTGGCCTCTGAGTGCCTCTTTCTCTCTCTTGGCACTCTTGCTGGGTGGAGAAACTATGAGAGCAGGTCTGAGCTGCAGACAGAAAGGTGTCTGTGTGGGGCTGAGGGATGGGGTGGGATGGGAAGGGGGGAACGGTTGCACATTGGCTTCCCCCTGTGAATGCTGAGATGACATTCAGCCCTAAGCTCAGGATTGCTTCTCTGCCTCTCTTTTCATTACCTGTTTATTTATTCCATTGCTTAACTTCCTCCACCTCAAGCTTTTTGGATTTTGGGAAGAGTCAGGCATTTAAACCTTCTTCAGCCAGACAGCGGGTCCCATGCCCGTGACCCCCAGCAGCTCAGGCAGCTCCCACACTGCCCTCTCACCTCCCGAGGCCTTTTTAGCAGAGTGAGCATCGCTGCTCAGGGGAGAGGTGGCTGAATTTTGTCAGCACGTGTGGTCTTGCAGGCACTCAGCTTCCCCTGCCAAAGGAGTGGGCAGAGCTGAAAGGTGGGCTAACAGGCAGGAAAATACCCCCATGAAGGATGGAGGCAGGAAGCTTGACCCAAAAGAGGGGCTTGTGCTGAACTGTGGACCCGTTTGCCACTGAGAACAGGGGAACAGGGATGGAGGATGTTCACCTTTTTCCTGCTGGCATCATCCAAGGGTAGAGCTGGTGTCTCTCTCTGCAGCAGGTCTGGCCTGACCTCCTGGAGCACGTGCCGCTCCAGATGCGCCCCAGGAGAAGGGTCTGCCCCGCACCAGCCCAGTAGGAGCTGAGATAGCCTGGCTGCAACTGGGAGCAGCTCTGGGCATGCCTTACCTCCCTGCACGGGGCAGAGTTAGCCCCGCAGGACTGTGAGCTGGGGGTTACTAGCCCGTGCTCTCACAGCTCGGTGAAGTGGGACTCTTCCCCCAAAGGGACGCCCCATCCAAACTCTGTATCTGGGGCACCACAGACGTACCATGAGCTAGCTCTCTCACCAGAGCCCCCCTTCCCCATGGCTCCTTACCCATTTCTGATGAATATATCAGCTTCTCTGAGACAACGGTGTCTGTCCAGAATCACCTGAATGAATCAGCTGCCTCCTGCATTCCAGCAAGAGCTGGTGCCTCATCTCCTCCACTGATGGAAGGGGAAAGCTCTTACTTAACTCCCAAGAGATTCATTCTGAAGTCTTGAAACCCATCACTCCCTAGCTCCTGGAAGGGCATTCGTCTGCACTGATGCTCCTCAGAGAAAGGCCATCAGGTCTGAGGGACACGGGGACCTCCTTCACAGGAGGCCTCGCAAAGCAGTGAGAGGGGATGATCCAGGTCTCCCTTGCTCCTATTGCTTTCTTCCACCTCCAAGAATGAGGACTATGTCTCTTCTGGCTCCACTCTTCCCTCCAGAGCCCAGACCTCCATCACACCGTGTATTTGACCAGAAGACCCGTGGCTGTCTCCCAGGGCCAGGCAGTGTGGTGGGATGCTGTGGGTGCTGACAGCGATTCTGCTTCTTGCTGCCTGATGCCATTTTCTTGGGCAGCCGGTGCCACCACCCTCTTTTAGCTTAGTTCTTTCAGTCCTATACTCTTCCCTCCTAGGAGCAAGATAGTGTTTTCCAGGGGCCCTTGGGTGCTTCTTGATGGCTCCTGATCCATCAGCAGCAAAACATTTGTGTTACGTTGCTGCTTCCAGGGCACTTCTGCTGGGCAGAAGCTGGAGAGGAACGGGGAACATTTCCCCACCAGTAAGAGGTAGCCCAGGGCAACCATCTCACCTCCTGGGCTCCACTGGCTGCTTCACCAGGGCTGCACAATCGTGTTTTGCTGCTGCTCGGTGGGGCTGGGGAGGTGCAGGCTGAAGGTTGAGGATCACAGACAAAGCAAAGGGGCACCACGTTTTTAGAAAGGGACACCCGCAGGGAGGGTGTCCATGCCCCGCTGCCAGCTCCTGCAAGGAAGGATGGAAGAGCCTCACCAAGCTGACCCACAGCACAGGATGGGGCAAGAAGCTCGTTGGTGGCTCGTCCAGGGCAAGGCAAGCAGATGACCCCAGGCAGAGGTGAAGCCTTCTCCTGCTGTCAGGTGTGGGCTCATCAGCTTCAGTAAAAGTCTCAGGGAGCCCCTTCCCACTTAGACCTCTGCTCCTTTATCTCTGGCTAGAAAGCAGCTGGTGGAGAGTTTGGGAGAAAGTCATTAACCCAAGTGCCTCCGCTTGTCAGAAGTACCGAGGACGAAAGGAAGGACCTCATTTCCCTGGCAGATGCGCTGAGAGAGCGTAGCAGAGGAAAGAGGCACTTCAGCAAGGAGGAGAAGCTGTGCAATGATGGGCTGGGGGCAGGGTGGGGGGGACAGTGTCCTTCCTCTCTGAGGGCAGTGGTATTTGTGGTTTACTACCCCACACTTGAGAGGAAAATTCTCCTTGTGGAGGAAATGCATCCCAGGTGAGAGATATAAAGCCATGCTCCTTACCCCACCCCTTGCAATTAAAGATCTCCTCACACTTTTCACAGCGTTCTGGCTAAATTACAGTCCTTAAACTTAATTACAGACTGTCTTCTTAAATATCTGTTGCGGTCCCAACTGGGTACATAATGTTTCTCTTCCTCATGGTTTATGTTGCTCTGTACCTATCGAGTAGCTGCTTTATTCCGCTCCAGAAGTGGCTGCGTTTCAGTGATGGTGGAGATTTTTCGTGTACATAGCGTGAAACTCCCTGCAGAAGAAAAGTGCAATATAAATTTAAGAGACTGCTTTTATTTACAAGGAGACCTCTGCTTGGTAGTTGTAGAAATACATTAGGAAGAATGCTGTGTGGGTGTTAGCCGATATATACTCAATTTCTTTTTTTTTTTTTTGTTCCAGGGTATAAAACAGAAAATATGTGAGTGTGCAGGCTCCTGGGTATAAGTTGTAGATATTAGAAGCAGTGAATTCTACTGTGTAATTACAAGCGGGGCTTACAAAGAAACTTTTATTTGAAAACTCTTTTTGTAGTTGTTCATTGTATTCTGAAAAATACACTTTTTTATTATAATTTTTCACAGTTCAGTGCAAGTCCCAATAGCAGGTCATTAACAGGACTTTAATCCATGGCTTTTAACAATACGAACATCAATTCCTACCGCTTGGTCTGAAAAGCAACTCCTAGCTGGTAATAGTAATAAACTATTTTTCTTCCAGATAGATCAGGCACTGGAAAGCCATGGAGCTCATATGTTTCATTTGATGTGGAGTTAAGTAATTTGGAATGCCTGAGCGCAACTCTTCCCAGCTGTATGGGAGTGGGGGGAAAAAAAAAAAAGTTTCATCTCTATGAAAACCTTTGTGTAGTGCACAAACTGTTCAGGAACTCCTAAAGTGTGTGACAATTGTCATGTGTGCAGAGCTGCCCCGATGTGGAGCCTTCCTTCTGAGAAGCAGCTTTATTCTGGAAGGAAATAGGGCAGCAATCAGGGAAAAAGTAGAGGGTGAAGTTGAGATGTTTAAGCTGGTAAATTTCTTGCAAGAATAATTTAGGGATGTATGAATGAGTGTAGTAAACATGACACAAATTGTATTTTATTCCCTTTGCTATTCAAAGTAGGGAAATTTAATTTCTTTCTATATGAAATCCTGTGGGTGCAATACTCCAGAACGACATGAAAATGCTTTAGTACCAAAGGGAGAGCAGGGGCTGGATTCCATCTCCTCAGCCCGTCCCTATTGCTCTGTGCCAGGAAAAGCACCCTGCTCTTGGGGTGGTGCCCTGCGCTCCTCCGCCTGGGAGGGACAGTCGCTGGGAGCAGCAAGCGGTGGGAGAAGCATCCCTCCATCGCACCATCGCTGCCCCAAGCCTTGTTAGCGAGGCTGAGGCAGGGAGTTTTCCCTGTGGGAATATCCAGGGGGTCCTGAGGGTTGCCCAGAGAAGCTGTGGATGCCCCATCCCTGGAGGGGTTCAAGGCCAGGCTGGATGAGGCTTTGAGCAACCTGGGCTGGTGGGAGGGGTCCCTGCCCATGGCAGGGGGGTTGGAACTCGGTGATCTCTAGGGTCCCTTCCAAACCAAACCATCCTGTGATTTCTGTGGTGGCGGGCAGTGGGCTCTGGCCTGCAGCTGCTCAGACGCTAGGCGATGGAGACGAAAGAAAAGCCCTTAGACCAGATCTCCCAGATGAAGCTGTACTGGTAAAATTTGCCAACCAAGCTCTGGATCCTCTGCACATCCCAAGAAGCCGAGCAACCCGCTGTGCCCGCATGGGTGATCCCTTGAGGAAGCTGGTTCAGGTCCCAGCACACAAGCAGTGCCTTTCCCTCTGCAGCCTTTCCCAGGGAAGGTTTTCCAGCATGGGCCAGAGAACAAGGGAAAGGCAGAAGGAGAGATGCCGCCTTTGCTGGCTGCAAAGGGAGACCTGGGTTAATAGAGGGGTTTGTGGAGAGCTGTGAGGGTCTGGGGTAAATCCAGGTTTTGCATGGTTTAGGATGGCCTGGAAACCAT